TTGCTCTGGTTCTGTTTTGGGTGGGTATGCCAAGGTTTCTCCTGTTCCTTTTCTCACTTTATGTGTGTCATTTGGTCATATTGGTGTCTTCATTATAATGTTTATTAAAATGTTACTGTCACTGCCAGTCTGAGACTGTGAATCAGAACTAAGAATGTGTAATAGTTTATTTCACATTTGAGTAAATTTCTTCTACTACTTAAACACTATTATGGGTAGTGTTGAACTGAGATGAAGTTTAGGTTTGCCTAGAATGCCACTAATTTGAGTCTTCTTTTATTGCCATCTGCTGTGGGTGCTGCATCCACAAATGTGGGGTTTTTTCCTGAGTTTCTGTTCATGGTGATAGAGGACAAGCTGGCACATCTGGAGAGCATCTTTTCTTGGTTCTTTATGCAGTTACCAACCTGCAGTGTGTGCTTTGATGTCCTTTGCCTGACCTGTTTCCCTCAGTTGTGGAAAACCTACGTTCTGCCATTGCAGTAGGAGCACAGAGAGCACCTACAGCAACCTCCTGAAGGGCAGGTGGTTAAAGGCTTTGTTAGACATGAAATGTGCAATGTCTGTTTGTCCTGGCTCTCAGGGTAATTCACGGCATGGTTTGAGGCTCTCACTCAGAATTTCTGTGGAGCGGTCCAGCTTGCTGTCAAGTGATGGACACTTGGGGTTTTCTGGCAGCCCTGCTGCCTGGCTGGGGTGAGAGCACTGCAAGGTGTCAAGGCCAGCTGCAGGGCCATGCCCAGCTCCAGAACTACAGAACCATTCCCAGCTCCAGAGCCATTCCCATCTCCAGGGCCATTCCCATCTCCAGAACCACAGAGCCATTCCCAGCTCCAGGGCCATTCCCAGCTCCAGAACCACAGAGCCATTCCCAGCTCCAGAACCACAGAGCCATTCCCAGCTCCATCTTGGAGCAGCCCCCAGGGAGTTCAGGAAGGAAGCAGCTGCAGGTGGCTGCTGGGGACAGGGGTCTGCACCCCCTCCCAAGTTCCAGCAGGGTCAGCAGCCGTGTGGATAATTCAATAATTCCTGAGTAGCATCATTTGAGCAGCTGTCTTCATTTGTTGTTGGGTTAGTTGCTTGAAATACTGACACGTTTTGCCCTGTGAGCTGCAGGATTCTTTAAATGGAAATCCCTTGGCTGCCAAGACACTTCACACCATGATGCAGGTTTGGATCTCGTGCAGGTTAACACAGAAGATAGTGAGGGTAGGACAAAAGTCCACCATCCTTGTTTGCCTACAGCACCTAGAAAAGGGTAGAGAACCAGCTGGGGCTCTTAACTCTGTACTGGTTTTTGATACACCAGGAAAAATTCCTGGAAGTGATTGTACTCATGTGGTGACCCCACTGTTGGCCTCAGCTCACCAATAAGTAAATAAATAATCTCTCCATGCTTTGGCCTTTGTATGTTATGCAGAGTAATACATGACTGGCCATGGCAATGTGAAATGGCACTTTTGTTGACCATTTTAAGAAAAGTAAATATAGGAAAGGTGTGCTAGGTAATAAGGCTAACATAAAACATACCAAACCTAAACTAAATGCAGACATTTAACATTATTATCAAGACTGTCTGATTCAAGTACTTCCCTTTTTTTTTTTTCATTTTCACACATTTACAAGCCAGCATTTACCTGCAAGATATGTCAAAACTGTGATTCATCATCAGTGGAGCTTCCATAGATGTGTGAGTAAGACAAGGGGAAATTGCACAGAACTCACCATCTCTCATTAGAGCCACATAGCTGATCTTTTATTTTTTTTTTTTTGCCTCTGGTTTTCTGCAGTTCACTTGGGAGTATGGCTATCCAAGTACTTACTTTGCAAGGAATTATTACCTCAAAGAATAGAAATTATCATTAAGTACTATTCCAGTTACTGGAAGGATGGCTTAGTCCTGGGAAAAAAAGTACCTACTAAGCCATGTTTTCCTGGAAGTATTCTCCAAGAGAAGTTTTTTTTTTATAAAGCTGATGCTGATAAATTTTCCCTTTTGGTGTATTAGCAAACTGAAATAGCTCGAGAAATATAATGCAAGAAGTCTGCCTTTTGTCAGACTACTTTCACTCCAGCTGTATAAACCCCAGGAATTATGCATTGTACTTGGTAAGTAGGATATAAAACACCCCTTGTGGGCATTTCAGATTGTCTTTAAGAACGGAATAATAATAATAGTGAAGAGACTGAGTGAATGTGTGCCTGGCTGCAGTGTGGTGTTGGTGTCTGCACTGGCAGTCACTGCCTGCTCTGAGCTCACAGTCATGGTTTGGGTTGGAGGGTCAGCAGGTCTCTCTGCAGTGCCCAGGGACACTTTCATTGTTCAAAACCCTGAAAATTGAACATTTCCAAGGATGGGGCATCCACCACTCTCTGGGCAACTTGTTTCAGTGTTGTACCACCTTCACTCCTTCCTTATTTCTAACCTAAATTGACTTTCTTTTAGCTTAAACCATTGCCTCCTGTCCTGTCACAGCAGGCCCTGCTAACAGGTTTGCCCCATCTTTAAAAGCCCCTTTTAGGTACTGGAAGGTGTCTCTGGAGCTTTCTTTTCTCCAGGCTGAGCAGCCCAAACTCTCTCAGCCTTTCTGAGAGAATAGAATAGATCTAGAATAGAGAATAGAACAGATACAGAATAGAATAAATATTCTCTGAGAATAGAGAATAGTGCTCCAGCCCTGGTGATGCCTGTGGCCTCCCCTGCACCTCTTCCAGCACATCCCTGTCCTTGCTGTGCTCAGCACCAAGAGCTGCTGGCTGCACTTTGCTCTTGGCACTCAGATGGAGCTGCTGAAGGGCTTTGCTGCTCTGTGCCAGCCAGGCAGGCTGGTGGGATGTCCCTGTCCCTGCCTGTGCCCTGCTCAGGTCAGTGGCACATGGGTTTCCTTCCCAGGGAGCCCAGCCCAGCCTGGGCACACAGGGCTGCAGAGCTTTCCTGCCTCTCCTGGGAACTGTGAGCTCTCTGCCTGTCACTTCACACATGTGGAAACATTTTCCACCTTTCAGATTAACTTAAAGATGGGGATTAATTTAACTTTACAAAGGGGTTTTTGATTCCCAGCTGAAAGCTGCTGTAGGAGCTGAAAATCCAGGGATGAAGCAGCAGTGCTGAGTGTTGGTGTGCTTGACAGTGATTTCTTTCTGCTTGCCCTCACTCAGGGGCTGAGGCAATCCTGTGTGCTCCTTCTTTCTGTAGCACCTTCTCCCCCTCTCTCATGCCTGCATCCACCCCTCAGTGAAAGTTAGGAATGAAATATCTGCTGAATAAATAAACACAGAATATTTTGTTTTCAGGTGTTTCAGTGGCAGTATCAGTGCATGGCAGTCTCCATTAGAGGAGCTTTTTGGTAAATCCACATGGACAGGCCAGGCAGGGGCTGCCTCCTAGAACAATTCTGCACCTCTTGGAAACACTGCACCTTTCTCCTGGGGAACAACAAATAAAGGATGCAAGAGTGGCAATAGAAACCTCTGATTAATTCCATGGCCAGGTGGCAAATGCATGACTTGTAGCAGCTCTCTGTCTCCAGTGCTGGAAGGAAAGCTCATAGTTAGAAGTGTTTTCTTCAGCCCTGGGAGTGTTTTAGCACTGGCTTCCATTCCTTCTCACAGCTTTTAGCAGAACAGGTTTAAAGGCCTATGCTTTCTGTTGCAGTGTGTTTCTCAAGTTTCCAGCTTGTACCACAGTTTTTCTGGAGGCTTTATCTGAGAATATTCTGCTGTAGTTCTTTGTTGTGTGGTGAGAATATTTTCACAGAAATTTCTAGAACCCTAATGAAAAACAATTCGGTTGCATTTCTTCTGTCACGTTGTTTCTGGTGATTCTATGTGTTTTTCCACTTGCATATGGCTGTCTGCAAATGGATTTAAGTGCCTGCACTTGGCTAACGTTGCAAATGGGATGGTGCTCGGGATCACATCATTGAAATTAGGTAAAAGTAACAAAAAAAAAAAAGGAAGTTAAGCTCAGTATCAAGCAAAGAGCCCTCCCAGTGCCACCTCAAGGACTTTCAGAGCAAGAGCAGAGGATTCACCATCACAGACATTTCAATCCAGTCTAGCAGGCTGTATGAAATATTGTGGGGAACATTCCTGCACTGGCAGGGGGGTAGGCTAAATGAGCTATTACCAGCAGCTCTTTCCATGTCTGACTGATAGTTGGCTAGGAACGTGCTTGCTGTAGTCGCCAATTTTTTTTCTTTTTCCCTTTTTTTTTGTTTTTTTTTTTTTTTTTCACTTGGAGAGCACTGGTGACATTGGCAGAAGAATGCTCCCTTATAACCACTGTCCTTCTGGGTAGAAAAATAATTTCTTCAGCATGGTTCTGAAAGTGAGGTAGTGAGTTCTTCTGTGTGTGTCTGCTGAACTCCACTATAAAAAACATCTAACAACAGTATACAAATGAGAGTGATGATGAGTTGTGTTTAACTCCCATTTTGGATATGTTTATAAAAGAATTTGTCCTTTAAAATTGCACCTCGGTGGCAGCAACAGCAATGGGAGTTATTGACAGTTTAAATACTGTATAATTTAATCCTAATCAGGGATGTGGATGATCTAACAGGTTATGGAGGTATTTTAATGCTTACCCTACATCAATGCTTTGATACTACAGAAAGTGCGTTTTTTCCTTAAGTTTCTGCCATAAATGTTTTCTTACAAACCTTAAAGGGTTGATTTTTGCTCCCCAGTGTTTAAAACTTGAAACTTCCTCAAAATAGGCAGTATTATTTCCCTCTGTTAATCTGACAGAAAAGCAGTGCAGAACAGATGAAAGGGCAAAGGAGCATTGAAGGGGGACTCCAGATGAAAGCCTGTGTACAGATTTATCTTCCATGTAGAGGAGCAGGTCTTTGTGCGCACCATACTGCAATATGCTGCTGCTCTTTGCTTCTCCTGAAACTCTGCTTGCAGTAAAGCTGCAAAATAAAGAGAAAATAAAGAGCTGCATCGCTCTAAATGTTCTCTCTTCTCTTTCTCCCCCGCCATGTGATGCCCAGGGACTCCAGAGAGCCTGGCTGAGAAGGAGAGGCAGCTCATGGGCATGATCAACCAGCTGACCAGCCTGAGGGAGCAGCTGCTGGCAGCCCACGACGAGCAGAAGAAGCTGGCGGCGTCTCAGATCGAGAAGCAGCGGCAGCAAATGGAGCTGGCCAAGCAGCAGCAGGAGCAGGTGAGTGGGTATTGCACTGCCTGCAGCTCCAGCCACCTCTGCAAGGGCTGCCCAGCACCTTGGCTTTAGCCCTCATACCCTAAAAGTGCACCCAGAATCTTTTCCGTTTGTTCTCCAAGGTGGAAAGGTTTGAACAAAAACGTATCAGGAGAATGCTGCACAGTTTAATCCTGATCATGGATGTACATGATATAACAGGTTATAGAAGGATGTTAATGCTTGCAAATTTGATTTGCAATATATCCATCTTGGAGTTGTTCAGAGCCTGCAGCCAGCAATGCCAAGGCTGTGGGTTCAGTCTCCTCATTCAGGAGTTGGGCTGGATGCTCCCTGTGAGTCCCCTGCAGCTCAGAATATTCTGCAATTCTCTGTTACCTTCAATACTGTTAGGGTTTTTAAACTGTCTGTAAATAAACAGGCACATCCAGCCCTCCTGAATAATCCCCCAAAGCTGCTTTAATTAAGAAATACTGAACAGGTATAAAAAGAACAAAATGCAGCACTTGGATTGTAACGTGAGAAATGGAGAGGTTGGGTTTTGCCAACTGTGGAAAAAGCAGAGAATAATGTAAAGTCAGTGAACAAGTGTGGCTCTTTTTCTTCTACACTTCAGAGGCTTGATTTTCAGTTTTTGCAAATATGCCCTTCACTGAAAATGCAAACATGGTTTTCACATGTGATCACTTCCAATGGGCACACATGGACACACAACATTTTAGGCAAAAACTTAACTTCTCTCACAGATTTCACTGGGCAGATTTTAACAGAAATTAATGTCTGCTTTCATACTTGAATGCAAGCAGAGAATATTTAGATATCTAGTTTAAAATTTTATCACAGAACTGCAGCTCTGTGAGTTTTAAACTCACAAAATTCTTTGAAATCTGTCATAGTTGTCATATTCAGTGTTGGTATTGTACTTAAGCAAGTCTTAAGATTTCTAAGGCACTGCTGCTACCTTCAGACATTTAAGCCTTTGTTTTCCCTGGTTTTAATTATTTAAAATTATTAATTTAATTATTTAAAAACCTTATCTTATTTTGGCCTGAACTCCCACATGGGGAGAACAGAAGTGACTTACCTTGAGCTGCAGAATTTGCATCCTGCTGTTGTTAGGACAGCAAAGGTAGAGGAAGGAGTGAAGGTGGAATTGGCAAGATTCTTTCACCAGGAGACATCCTGTATGAAACTATTCCCTTTACCCTGCCTCCTAAAGTCACCACTGCCACAGGGATTTGACAGTGAAAAAGAAAATGAAGACAGTAGAAAAAGGCAATAAGAAATTAGAATAACTAAGATTTCTTTTAATTGAAGAAATTGTGTATACTTCTGTATTATGCAGAAATGAAAATATCCAAACTCTGAAAAAAAATGTAGTGATAAAAATCATTTTTCTTTCTTAAAGAAAGGCTCCATTCTTGCTTTTTAAGTTCAAGAATGGTTTATCTCCCTCCAGCCTTTCGAACTCGTAACTCCATTCTGTTAATGTCTGCTTTTTCCCTTCATGGGTGTAAAATGTGTCCACGGCAGCACTTGCAGTCATTTAGGGAGAGGGGGGGTGGAAGTGCTTCTGGAAAACTGCACTTGGCTCTGAGAGGAGGCTCAGAAGGACTTCACAAAGCAGGCTCATGGTGAGCCTTGTGGCCTTGCCTGCCCCCTCAGCTCCTTGCAGCTGATACACACACTGGAGAGCCAGGGATTTTTCCAAGCTCAGTTCCAGTCTCTTTGTGCCTCTTTCTACATTAAGAAAAGTACACTAAGAACCTTCCTCCATGATGTCAGATTGCCATTTTTTAAAAACTTTTTGAGCAGGTGGTGCCAAACGGAATAATATTTCTGGCCATACTGCCTTTTTGCTTTTTCTACCCTTTTCCACCATTTTTTGGTTTCTCTGCTGGGGTTGTTCTCTCTGCTGGGAAATTTTGGCAGTGCCATTATTTCAGTAAGATTTTTGCATAGGTCCTTGTCTTATGTGCAGCCCAGCATTTTCCATAAGAGTCCCTTTCTCACTGGTGTTAGCAATGAATTGAACACATCCCCCTTGCTTCAGCAGCAGCCTCTGCCCTCGGGGGTTCCTCGGCTCAGAGGAGGGATTTAAAGAACTAAGCAGGGTCAGAGCTTCCTGTGGATGGACTCTGGGAATGGTGATCCATATCTCATGTTTCTTCTGTGCCATTTCTTCACAGATTGCAAGACAACAGCAGCAGCTTCTGCAGCAGCAGCACAAAATTAACCTTCTTCAGCAGCAGATCCAGGTCAGAGACGCATCTCCTCCCACACCCCTGTTATTCTTCCTTTCCCTTCCCCACTCCATCCCTCAGCCATTGTTGCCACAGTTTCTTTAAGAATCTCTGCAGTTGGCTGGCATCTTGTTTATAGAAACACAAGAGGATTTTCTTGTCATTAGCAAAAACAAGGTCAGTTTTTGGAAGGCCTTATATGATTAGCATGGTTTTTGTAGGGTCAGGAAGAAGCTGTTAGAGGAGCTGGTCATGCAAGCAGACATTTGCAGGACCAAATCCTCTTTCCTCAGGAGTGACAAAAGCATTGCCAGAAAGAGTTTGTTTGGAACCAGTGTCCTACAACTCTGTTTTTGAGGCTGTGCTGAGGTGATTGATAATCTTCAGTGGTTGATAATCAAGTGCACCTTCTTCCCTCTGCCTGAGGTGTTGGGAGACTGGAATTTTTTATTTGTGGGGAAGTATTGTGTGAGTGAGAAGCTGACCAAAGGGTTGGTTAGATTCAGGAGAGCAGCTGTGTAAGTTCCAGGTACCTGCAGGTTTGTTCCCAGGAGTAGAAGTTGGTAAACCAGCATATCCAGTAAACTTTATTTAGCCTCTTTCTGCCATACTGTATTCAGAAGTTTCTTTTCATGCCAATGACTGCATTTCATTACTTTTCTTCCATGTGCATGCCCCTGTTTTGGGAACAGTGCAAATCAGTTTGCTGTGGAATAACAGGAGTGGTTAATAAACCTAATACATGGGATAACAAAGGAGAGGTTTGACTTTTACAGATACCTGGGACCAGGATGGAATCTCTGCTTGTTCAATCATGCAGTTTTGTACAGAGCATTGTGAGTTGCTGTAGACTCTGTTCTATTTGTTCAGTAGCAGCAGGATTCTCCTTCCAAAGCTTTTCATCAGCATTTCAGAGGGAGTTGCCTAAAATTATCAATCACAATTGTAAGCCATTTAAGAAAACCTAATTCCAGCCACATCAGAGGAGTTTTATGGCTTCATACTGGAAGAAAACTTGGCTGTATTATTCCAGAGGACATTCTGTCCATTTCTGGACTTGGGCATTTATGAAAAACTCCTGGGAAGGTCCATCCCTCTGTTATAAGGCAACTTCTATACAAGATGTGCTTTGCTGAAAATGATTTTGAGATTGGTAAGGCTTGGTTTGGCCTGTGCTCTTTTCTGCTTCCTAATTTGTGTGTGGGAGGGATTTTTATTTATTGCTGCATTTTTAACAGGACTTTAAAAGAAAAACAATAGTAAAACCTGTACAATAGCAAGGAAAATATTTGTATTTTTAGCATTTAGCTATGGCAGCGAGAGAGGAAGTTGTTTTATAAGCAGTGAATAAAAATAAATTGAAGTAATGTAATTTGACCCCAACCCTTTTAAGTTTTAATGCCCTGTAGATAAGAATGAAGTATGTTGTTTTTAGGGTAGTGAAGAAAACCCTGGTTATTGATAATGAGATATAGAGCCTTTCATCTCTTGATCCCTGGTCCAAGTTTGACCTAAGTCAGTAGTAAATGAAAGTCAGCCAAGTCCCATCTGATGGAAGCTGCAATCCTCAGGAATGATTTGGGGGTTTGTCTCAAGAGATCGCAGATGCAATATTGACCCTGCTGAGGTCAGGATTTCACCTCCAGGGTCCACTTCACACAGACCCCATCGGATTTGTGGCACCCTCCTTTTGGATGGTCAGGCAGGAAAGGTCAGGAATGGAGCAGGCAGGGAGGCAGTGCTGCTCTCTCATTCCCACAGAGCTGATCTGTGTGTGGTGAAATTTGGGTGATACTGCACAGGCAGTCTGGGCAGTTCCATGTATGATTCTGAAGTCTCATGAACCCTGGCTGAAGCCCATAACTCTGAAGGGAAAAACATTTAAAAATAAAAAAAATCCTTATTGACAGGGAACAAAAAGCAAAGCATTTCTCCTCAGCTAGTGACTGTCAGAGAAGAAACAGTTCTTAAAGAAATCACCCTTTGTATATAATTTGAGGCAATGAAGTCCCCTTAAGATGCCCATGTATAAAATGAGTGAGTGAGTCTACAGTCAGCCTGTGAGTTACAGGAGGTGGAAGAAAACTCTGACAGGAATGTAACTGTGAGTTCAGCTTTCCTGACCTTGCCCTAATTAATCTAACAGGCTTCTGTCACACTGGCCTGAAGTTTTGAAATAGCATGAGATTTATTGACAGGGAAATATTCCTACAAAGAGTGGATAACTGTTTGACTTAGGTGCAGTTGAATGATTGTGCTGTAGCTGTGAACTCAACTTATTTATGACAAAGGAATCGTTTTACTTGAGCCAATTTTTTTCTAAGCTTGTAAGAGTCGCCATAATTCCATATAAATTATTACACAGAAAAAAGCCACTGAAATATTGTACTGAAAGCATAATACCCTAAGGTTAGAAAAAAGCATAACCTGGCCGACCCCATGATTTATGAGTCCTTTCTCTCAGTGTGCTAACTTGGAAACAGTTCCCTTTCTCCTTAGCCCATCACACAATCCATAACCAGGGAGAGGCTGTGAGTCCCTCTCCTCCTCAGAGGACTGCAGCTGCTCTGTGGAACTGCAGCTCAGTTAAACCAGCACTTCTGGGATGCTGCAGAAAGATGCTTTAGTTCTTTGAGCTCAGGAAAATGTGCCTGGCATGCGAGTCTCTAAGTGGCACGCCTTTTCCAAGCCCATCTCTGCTGAGTTCATTGGAAGGTGGTGTCACTAAAACAGAAAACAAGGAGTTTGTATAGAGAGTTAAGTAAGCTGGAGGAAAGTTGCAGATTGGATTAAATTTGAGAATGACCTCAAAATGCTAAAATAGGATCTAGATGGGATTTTGTGTTTTGGCAAACGTTTATAATTTTTTTTCGACTTTTCAGGATGTTCTATACCTAATTTGTGAAGAGGTTTGAGTTTCTCTGAATAATTAACTAACCCTCCCCTGTTTTTATGGCACTTTGGGATGCATCCCCCCATGCACACTTTCTGCTCTGCCCAATCTTTGTGTGTGAAGTTTTCCCTGTGAGGTTCCTGCCTGCTGAGTGTTGGTGCTGTTCTCCCTGCACGCCTGGTCCTGCTGTTGTGCCATAGATGGAGCTGGAATCTGGGTTTGCACAGCCCTTGTGCATCAGCACCCCCAAAGGTTTCAGGCTGTATTTGAGGCAGAAATTGTAGGGCAGGCTGACACCTGGTATCTGAGGGCTCTAGCTGCTCAGAGTTAAGTTAGAAAGTCTCTTTTCCCAGCCTGGCAGTCAAAGAAGGAGTCAGAACCCTTCACTTCTTGTTTTAAGGTTGTTTATTGTTTCTTATCTATAAAATTCTTTCTCCTGTCCTGCTGATGTCCACTCAGACAGAGGTATTCTGCCTGCCCCCAGGGCAGTGTTATCTTTTTATACTAAAAACTACATGTACAGTGTTTACAGTTACTTCCCAATACCTATCACCTATGTTAGACAGTGAGCTTCTACTCTAAACCAATCCAAAAGTTCCACCATCACAGCGGAAGATGGCAGCCAAGAAGAAGAAGGAGGAAGGCTGGACATGCCCAGATTCCTTCATCTTACCTCCTGAACCCCATTCTAAAAACCCCAAAAAATCTGTTTTTCACCCTGTGAGAAATTCACTGTCATTCTACTGAAACTTTTGTGGCTTGTAATTCTTCATATAAGGCCAGTAATTGTTTTTTCCAAGGGCTAAATCAAAGGCACAGAGGGGTCCTGGGCAGGGGCTCGAGCCCTCCAGGGCAGCCAGAGGAATTTCCTGGGTTCTGACACTGGTACAGCTCAGCAAGTTCTTGGGTGTTCAGCTCAGTTTTGTCCTCCAGGGCCTCAAGGGAGCTCTCCTGGGTACCCACTCCTCTTCTGTGGGCCCCCAATCTCTCCCTGGTGCCCTTCCCCTGAAGCCTGGGCATCTGGGGCTCTGCAGCTCCCATCTCAGCTGGGCACAGAGGGGCAGAGGCTTGGGATGTGCTCATGGGGCTGGGCTGGGCTCCCAGAGGTGTCACCCCTCCTTCCAGGGTGTCCCTGAGCCACAGGGCACCAGGGAGGGCTCCTGCAGCCCAGAGACAAAGCCTGGCCCAGGATGCTGATGGAAGGCTTTGCTTTGGAGCTCACTGACAAATGTCACTTTAATTGAACTGTATTTAAAATGAAATATGGTTGTTAAAATTCATAAAGCAATTCATATTCAGTAGGGCACTGTTGATAAAATAGGTCAACCTTGCAGCCTAAATTGTGATAAAACTGATACTGCTAATCTCACAATTTTGTGGAAAACCTGACAATGTTTTATGTTTTTCCCTCAAGCCCCAGCTCTTGGAGTCATGTGATGACAAAAATGCCAGCTTTCATTTCTCCCAAATGTAAACTTCCAACTCTCAGATTTCCAGGCAAAATCTGAAACCATGAGCACTACAAGTTCCAAAATTAGAAGGCAAACAAAACAGAGGCCAAATGCTGTTTTCTAATCTGTTCTGATTTTTAGTCAAAATTTTTTTTGGAGAGCCCAGCTCAAGATCTTGGAACACTTCAGGTTGCCAATAATGTAAAACTAAGATCTCAAAGCAGCAGGCAGCAAAAACGCTGCTTTACAGTGTTTCTAACGTTTAGGCCACAGTTTTGTTTGACTTTTTTGGTTTGATACTGTCAGTAATTGGTTACTAATTTGTGTTCTTTTCTGAGTGACATACTCAGCCCAAGAACCAAGTGCTTTCTGAAATTGAGGGCAATTCCTGCCAGACAGCAATCTGTGTTTCAGGAGAGGGTTTCCTTTTTCCTTCAGAGCTAGAGCAGATGTTTTAATGGGACCCTTTTCTTGTGAGAAGGTTTGGACCCCTGAGAGTGAGGGCATCCCAGCTAAATTCTGATGCAAAGCTGGAACCAGTGTCTCTGACCTGTTCCACCTGGTACCAAATGCCTGAAATGTGGGAATTCATCTCTCCAGCACTAAAGCTGGTTACAGAGGGAATAATTTTATTCAGGGCTGAAGGTGCACACAGGAGATTCTGCAAGGGG